GAAGAAAACCCTATTCTGTCAGCATGGCTCTGAAGGTGAAAAGTCAGTCCTCATCATCTGTCAAAGTAGCAGAAGAAAAAATCACCTTTGGGTAATCTCATCCTGAGGATAACTAAGTCAGCTCAGCCTGGCAGACGCTGTGGAACTGAGAAGCAGGAGGAGCAGATGCAGCATCGACACAGCCAGCCTTTGCTCCTGGGTGGCAGGAGCCATGCCCAGGCCGGAGGTCTCTGCTTGTCTGGGCATCCTGCCTTCCCTCAGCAGTGGCAGCACCTGGCTGCTGCAGTAGCTCACTAAATTACAGAAGAAAACGGTATGATCTGCTTAAACCACAAGACCCACCGGGCAGTGGATTTCTGGGCGATTATCATATACCTTAGGTTGCCTCTAGACTTTAATCACCCAAGAAGTGTGATAATCTGCAAGATTCATGCCCTATGGTGGCTTATCACAGGCAGAAAATGACAGTAATACATAGAGTTGTGTCATCCACACATTTGGATGCATTTCTGACACGGATCCCAGGACCCACTACATGCCCTCAGTTGGTCACAGGCAGAAAACAGCTCTCCTTCTTTGCCACTGCTAAAGGTGCACCCCAGACATCTCCCAGCATGCCGCATCAGAGATGTGCTGACTAGAGCTGTGCTTCCAGGCACAGCTGGGAGATAGAAAGGTCATTCAGTGCTGTGCCACCACTCGAAATAACACCACATTGGAAAGAGCTGCTTAATATAGATCATCAGTCTAATATTGACGGCACACAGTGGCAGAAAGCCAAGCAGTGGGAAGGGAAAGCCATTGGTCTCTGCAATGATTACTTCCTCACTTTTAGAATTTTCTTTGATGAGCTCTCAGCTGTGGGTAGCTGCCATTTCCTTCAGCCTGTGCTGACGCTTTAGTACAGGCATGGGCTGTTTCTGCTGGATTTTGAATCAGAGAAGTGAACTAGACAATTTCCTGCAGAAATCAGGGAGTCATCTCCCAGCACCCATCCAGGCTCTATAAAGAGTGCGGCTTAAACCAAAGCAGTGTTTAAGTCCAATGATGTTTAAGTCCAAAGACGCCGGCACAAGGATTCCTGAAAACACAGAAAACATTCTTTGCAAGAAGGCCAGGACACAGAGGTCTGTTTCAGACCGCTGCTCTGCAAGAGTTGCAGGGTCTAAGCCTGGCTGCCCCCTCCACCCAGCTATTTGTCAAAGGAGACCAGCCATGTCTCAGCTTATTTATTTCCGACTTAAGGCCAGAGCTGTCTATGACACGTTGGAGGGAGGCTCATCATCGGTCTCTCCAGGCCAATGGCAGCACACCTCACTGCAGCTTAATCTGCTCTAAACAGCCCAGACAGAGCAGCTGCTGTTTGCTTTGTGCTCTTGCACAAATGCTGCAGATTTCCCTGTGAAATCTGGATTTGACAAGCTGGGAGCAAATAAAGACAGTTGATGACATCCGAGCATCTGAGCAGATTGCTCTTTAATAGGAACAAGTGCTACCAGAGAGAAACATGTTTTTATAGGTAACCCAAAAATTTAAGATGTTTGCCGGTCACTAAACCCATCATATGAACATTTGTCTCCTGTATCGTGACACATCACAGACATCTTAAATTCTGATGTGACAATAGGAAAATAAAAATGACAGCATCACAACCAAACCAGTACCTCCATTGATCATGCAAGTGTCCCATCCTCAGAATGGAAACCTTCAAAGATCCTTAACAATGCTTAGAAGACACAAAACTAAGACTTTCCCATACAAAACTCCTGTTGAAGCAAGTAATTAAGGGAATTCCTATGCGAGAAAGAAGTTGATAGATGTTCTGTCAAGTACAAAGATACCAATACTGTCAAGAAAAGAAGTGAGTCACTTTTTATGACAAGAGTATTGTCTTTTAATACTTAACTCCTCAAATAATTCTACCACTAAATATTTGCTATCACCTTACACATGATCTAGTAAAAAAAATAACATTAACTGTTTTTTAAAAATCTAAAACTGTCATCATCTCAGAGACATGAAAACAGAGTTGCAGAATTCAGTGTCAGCATATACAAGCCAAAGAAATATTTGTTAAAGTAGCAAATCAGTGCTTACACTGGTAAGCAGTAGAGAATGAACTTTCTATATCAAATACCCAAGATGCAATAGGAAATATTAAATAAGGGAGTTCTGTCAACCTGTAGGTGGAATTAATTTCTTGATATGCCCCAATAAATGCCTTCTCATTTCAAAGAAGCAAATATTTTTTTTTATATGCAAAAGGTGGCATCAGGCCTTTGTGCAAAGAAATGGAAAAGCAGCAGCTGCTCCACAGCCCAAACACAAAAATATGTTTTCACACCAAAGACGTGCAGAAATGCTGTGCTGTCAGCAACAATAAGATACTAACTAGTAAATAGAAGTGAGTTACAGTAAATAGAAGGAACCCCACTCCCTGCCAGGATGCATCTCCTATAGCAACTGGCATATGTGCAAAGGGAAATGAAATTCTATCAAGTAATGCTCCTCCATCTGCTTATACTCTGCAGCTTCCACACTCTCGTTTTCCTTTGCTGTCAAAGACTTCCCTAAATGCAAGACAGCGGATAACGAGCTCTAGGGCTGAAATGACAAGGGCTTTTCCCCCCAATACACGATACCTTTGCACCCCCTACCGGGGAAAGGCTCATGAGCAATCAGCTTTAAGAGGCCTGCTGCAGGGCCCTTCTGCCCCCACGTCCCACACATTTACCTGCTCCTGACTGGTTTTTGTCTTCAGCATTTTATTTCTTTTAGCCTCGTGCCAACAGTTCGTTTCTGTTCATGATCTCTATTGACTTTGATCTCAGTCAGTTCAGTTTATACGTGGGATCAATGAACACTAAGGGAAACTCATCTCGTTTCCTTATGTTATGACCACATTCTTCTACAGTCACTCACTTCTTTGCTCCTCTTAAGGAAGGAAGCCTTATGCTGGATACAAAGGCTGTTATAATACAAAAAAAAATACTAGCAATGAATCATCATATAACATGTTGGGAGGGCAGGCATTTGCTAGCTACTGGAAAATGGGCCTTTTTCTGTGGACACACAGAGAGCTGGGGCAGACCCTGTAGCAAGGACGGGGAGCTCTTGTCTCTAACCTTGACTCTTTCCCGTTAAGTTTTTCAGCAGCAAGTCACAGTATGATGGTTTTACTCTTATCAGTATTGCTTTTCACGTAAATAGTTATCCAAGGGAAAGTGTTCGTGCTACTCAGTAGAAGATACATTAAAATAAAAGCATTCAGGAAAGTTCCTAAAGAAGTTGGATATTCAGTTATTGCAGCTTAGCAAGATGGCAATAAACTCATTTTTAGAGCATCTCTGCTATTACACTTATAACCAGCAGGTGGCATTAAATTGCCACAAATCTGCTCCAAGTGCCCTTGGCTGTGCTGTTCACTAGAACTTAGCAAGTCCTGGGCTCTTCACGCACCCACAAATCTGCCACTGAAGCTGCCACTGCTTCAAACTCCCGAGAATTAGAGGAATATAACCAATTACCAACTCATGCTACACCGGTAACAAGAATGCTTCATTTCTTCCCTCCTGTCTGTTCCTCCTGTACATCTGCCCCGGCTTTTCTGGAAGCCCGCTAAAACCACCGGCCCCATCTCCAGTCCCAGTAGTCTATTTTCCCTGCTGCAGCAGACGGACCCTCTGCATCCACACACAGACTGAGGCTGAATGAGGGGGAGGGAGGCAAGGTCTGAAAGTTTATTATCAGGGGACTAACAGCCCGTTTGCCAGACTGCACCTTCTCTGGAAATAGTTACTGGGTCAGCAAATCGAGCTGTGCAGCTCCGCTAGGGGCTGAGGCAGGGCTGCACCCATTTCGGGCACACTCCCAGGGCACCAGCTGGCTGTGCCCATTACAGGCACATCGGCCTCTCCACCTGCAATCACAAAAACCACAGCAAAACTCAGTGAGTGTTGCTCTACAGGACTGCACCTCCAAAACAGCTGACTCCAAGCAGATGCAGCAACCAGCAGTGTTAAATTACAGAATCACAGAATTTCTAGGTTGGAAGAGACCTCAAGATCATCGAGTCCAACCTCTAACCTAACACTAACAGTCCCCACTAAACCATATCCCTAAGCTCTACATCTAAACGTCTTTTGAAGACTTCCAGGGATGGTGACTCCACCACCTCCCTGGGCAGCCCGTTCCAGTGCCTCACAACCCTTTCAGTAAAGAAATTCTTCCTAACATCTAACCTAAAACTCCCCTGGCATAACTTTAGCCCATTCCCCCTCGTCCTGTCACCAGGCACATGGGAGAACAGGCCAACCCCCACCTCTCTACAGCCTCCTTTAATGTACTTATACAGAGCAATAAGGTCACCCCTGAGCCTCCTCTTCTCTAGGCTGAACAAGCCCAGCTCCTTCAGCCGCTCCTCATAGGACTTGCTCTCCAGGCCCCTCACCAGCTTCGTCGCCCTTCTAAATTATAAGTACACTACTTAATGTACATTTAAGACACTATAGACAATACCCAAGGACTGGCATCTGTTTTAAAGGGTCATTGCAGATTCTGATCCCTTGTTTTCTTAAGGATAGAATGAAATTCAGATGATATTGCTGTGGCAGAATTCCCACTAATCTCCACCAGGCAGGTTTTATCTGGTTTTCACACTGATAACATGTAACCCTGCCTTATGTCAGCAGTGGAGCAGCACCTCAGAAACTCAGGGCAGTTTCAGAGGAATAGGTTCCTGTGATCTTCACCACTTATACCACCTCCAGCGAAAAGGCAAAACTAGAGGAATCTGGGGGGTGGCTGGATCCCCTGCAGGTGTCCAGCAAGTCCAAGGGCCAGACTTCCACCTTGCCTCTCCTACAGTGTTTCCATATAAATTTAGGGATGCGTTCTTACTGACTACCCTGACAGAAAGTTCCCAGGTTTTACTGAGAGCTTATCTCCTCCACAGCCTGCAGCCCTGAGTACCATGGAAGGCATCCCAGGTGCACAAGCTTATATTGAAAGTGTCTCCCAGATGGCTGAGGTTTCAGAAGAAAAAACATACACACACATCTGCACACTGACATAAAAAAAATGACCTCAGAGCCTTGAAAGTTTCCTCCACATGGAGGAGTTGAGCAGGAGGCTCGATTCCCTCCTGCACTGCTCCAGATCTGCCGTGCTCCCCTCGGTCCCAAGGACGCCACGCACCCCTGAGCAGTGGGACACCACAGGGCAGGCACGGCTCCAGCTGCACCTCCAGCTGTCTGTCATGGAGGCAGAATTGCTGTCCTGTGACATGAAAAGAAGAGGTCAAAGGGAAGCTGGGAATACCCCAGCCACACTTACCCGCACTGTGTGAAGCGAACAGCAGGGAGCGGAGCAGCAATAGGGGGACTCGCAGACACCGCTTGCCAGGCCCCCGGCCAGCCGAGCTCAGCGCAGTGGCAGGATTTCCGAGCAGGCTGCAGCAGACTGGTCCTGCTCCCCTCAGCCATGTCCCTGCCCAAGTCACAGCCACGCCACGCTCTGAAGGAGCAGGCTTTGCTGCCCCAGGACTAGCTGCCTCCCAGCTCACGGTATGCCAACAGAGCACTGGCCATGAGCAGTTGCCATCTCAACACAGACTCTAGAGTACTGCCAAGAGGAACTTTAAAACTATACATGTTTTGTTTTCATTTAAAGTATGAGCACAACATGCCTTTTTCATTTTCCACTTTTTATGAGTTTGGTCATATTCTTTTTTAATGAATTCCTATTTTGTTACCCTACCCCATGCAAAAGAGCATGGCTAGGAGAAGAAATTGATGTTTACTAAAATGTACAGAAAACAGTAAATAGACAGTAAGTTGCAAAAGGGAAGCATTGGCATGCATAATATTTCACCTCTGACACAAGGTAAGACTTGACAAGGTGAACACTGACATTCCTTTGTGACCATTTCCATGCAAACAGACACTGCCACAAGAACCTAGGCACTGAAATTACTCTGTATTTGCACAAAGTAGAAATTCTGCAAATAACTCACGTCATAAGGACAAAGCTCAATTTTTCTTTCTTTCCCAAGCAAAATTACAATATATTTTTTTCCTCTTTCAGATAACTCAGAGAGATCTGAGTGTTTAGAGCATGTTGTTGTTGGAGAAGGGGTTCCCATGACAGACACTTACAGAAAAGCTAAGCTTTGCCAACACCCACGTGGAAGCCCAGACAAGCTGAGCATGTGCATGCAGAGGGAAGGAAACTTGAGAAATGAAGCAAAGGTTTGGAAGAAGCCACTCGGGCTGCCAGTCACCTGTATCTGTGCAGCCTCCTGACAGTCCACAAGTCTGTGCATCCTTTGCCTGGGACCTGGTGGTGGAAGCACAAAGAGAAGATAGACGAAGCCCAACTCTCAGCATGGCACCAGCTGGATGTCAAAAGCCTTATCTGGATTCACAACTTAAACACAGAGCGGAAGGGCAACGTATGAAAGTTACTACTGCTGCCAGAGAAAATATAAGGAAGGAAGAGATCTGGAGTAGACAGGCAACAGCAGGTAGCTCTGATCAAAAGCACGGTGATGCTCAATTTGTGGCACATGAAACTACTGAAAGATTGAGTACTTGGAGACTGAAGGAAATGCAGAGGGAGCCCCTGGAGGGGAACCATATTTCAGCAGGTCATGAGCAAGCCAATAATGATTTCCACTTCATTTGTGTGTGCACTAAACATACTTGGCATTACTTCAGAGGCTGGGGTCAAAAGTTCGATGAATATAGATCTTTGTTGAAAGCATTGTGCTCACAGAGGCATCTGGATGCCTGCTACAGGAGGATCAGAGCCAGGTTTACACTACCCCTTACCCCTGCCCTGTCCTGGGATGTTTTCCCAGCTGAGATCCATTACACGACAGCATACAATACTTACACACCTCTCTCCTGCCAGCAGAAGACACCCACACCTCATTCCTGATTAGCAGGAAAAAAATCATTTCCATACATGTAACTGGCACTCGGAGAATCAGCCACAAAGCTTATCTTGCTTATTGCTTCACTGCCAGGATGCTTCAAAACAGCAAATGGGAAGCATAAAATCAGGGCTAACATTTATTTTGGGATCTTGCAATAGCCCTTCCATGGTACCAGTACCCTGGGCCAGCAAGAACCTTCCTTTGCTCCAGATCCTCTTCAGAGCATCTTCCAAAAACATATCTAAGTACAGCACACATGCACACACACACACTCATACAGATGAGGGAGGGGGGAAGGACAGCCAACTCTATCACCCATCAGGTAAAGGTAGATAATTACAGAAGGGCAAACTAGAGCATTAGCGATGGCCAGTGCCTGAAGCAGAGAGTACAAAGAAGCGTGTTGCAATGAACCAGCATACACACGTTCTCTCCATGCTGATGCCTGCACTGCAGTCGACACCTTTGCACAGCTTTCAACATCCAGCATTTCACGCCGTGCAGTAGGACACCCATTTTCCATGTCTTGGGGATATCCCCGTGGGGCTTAACATGTGATCTCACCTTTTGCTTTTAAAAAGGTAACTGGAGCGAGGGCAGAAGTGCTTCCATGCTTGGTTTCTGTGAGCCAGCCTCCTGCCTAGCAGCTCCAGTAAGCCTCAGAGTTCAATTGGCTCTTAGCAGGCTATGAGAACTCACAAGTGTTTCAGACTGTTTGCAAGACAAGAAAGCTACAGCACATCCATGTGGAAAGGGAATCAGGCTGTCTCCCACATGCCTTCCCTTCTGCTTTGTCCCTCTCTTGGTCTACCCCCATAATTTGGGGAGTGCAACATTTTGGTCCCCAAGACGCTACATTCGCAAGTGCATCGACAAGAAGAGCACTTGGAAGCCACGGGAGTCAGGCACCAAAGGGGTTCCATTTAACGTGACATTTTATAGGAAGCTTTGAACCAGCCTCATTACCCTGGCAAGACAGCAGCAGATGCCTGCTTACAGACATCCATCACATTTGTCCCTAACCCTGGGGCAGCCCCACAACAAACCAGCGTGCCAGCCCCAGGAGCAGTGCAAGCGGCCATTGCCAAGGCCTCTCTGCAAAAGGGGGCTGCTGCACCCTTGGCTGCTTCCCTGCTTGCCTCCTCGCTCTGCCTCAGCAGCTAAACAAGTGCCAGTGCTGAGCCGGTTTGCCTGGCCCCCAGAAAAGCACTTAGCAAAGAAAGGTCTGCCAGCTGATCACTTAGCTCCTTGGCAACACTGACAGCATTTTAACCTCACCCTTTAGGCTTTGGTGGCCTCAGTAATATCAACCCCATGTACTCTGAGATGCACAGTGGAGTTCCCCTGCACCTTCGCAGGGATGGCCCTTCAGTGATCCCTTTCTGCTCCGGTAGCATTTGGCTGTTCCTGCTTTTGGATAGGCTGGGATGAAGGTGACCTGCAAGCACCAATTCCTATCTGAAGAAGATAACATAGCTGCACCAAAAGAGGGCCAAGTGCACAGCCACAGTGTTTTGAAAATCTCTGTGATCCCTTGGCTTTCTTGTCTTTCTGCAAAACACACCCAGGTGACAGAGACTCTGATGACTCACTGCATTTCAGCACATAGTTCAACTCTTTATGCAGAAATAGCAGGAAAGGGGAAAATCTGTCACGCCGAGGTTCACTACACCAACTGTGTTTTCCAGCTACAAGTAGCCTCATAGAAAAGTCTTCCAGGGAAGCAGAGGATCTCAACATCCAGAGAAGCCTCATGCAGGCTCAAGGGAAATGGAGGACCAGAAGCTTTCATTAACTTACACAGGGCTTGGCTGAACAGGATTCAGGTACTGAATATCAAAAATGAATCTGTCTTCCCCAGCCAAGGACCCTCTTGAACTTCAGTGGGAGCTTGCAATGCATGCTCTAAGGATATAAGCCTAATAGACTCACATTATCAGTTTGATTGTCTGCATGTAAGGAGAGAAAACTAAAAGAAAACAAACTTACTCCTTCTCTTTTCTTAAACTTTTTTTTTTTTTTAACATAATTAAATCCCCCATAATGACCACTGCAATCTAAATCTAATAAGCACGAGTTTCTGTTTTCCACTGGTAGCCATTTGTACTGCTTGATTTAGGCAACTCACTAAAGCATAAGAGGAACATTGCAAGACAACCTTCTTGAGGCAGTGGATAAGAAAAAAGCTTACCTAGACAGTATTAAATCACTACAATCAATTGCATCCTATTGCTTATGCTCCGCTGCCATTGGCAGGAAAGGCACGAGCTGGCTTATTTACACACGCATGTACACCACTGAGCTCATTCACACACGGCTGCTTTCCACCTCAGAGCAACAAAAATTAATAACAAAAATAATTAAACCTCATCAGCCTTCAAGCATATGGGAGCCTAAGAGCCCCAGAGCCAGATCCTCAGAAAATGCATCAGGCTCCTCCTGAGAGAGATTGGGGCCCGGCTCCTGCAGGGCTTGGCTGCCAGAACTGCCACGGCGCCTGGTCGTCACACTCCAGCAATAGATTACCCCATGGTATCGACCCCCCTGCTCTGGGTTAATTCTTTTAATTGTCTCAGCACATCTTTTCCCATTAGGCTGATGTAACTTGTTTAAGCATACACAGATTGATTTATGACAGCACTAGGGACGTTAATCAGATGCCTGCTCTCCAGTTAATGCGTGCTCTGTAAGAGAGGCAGGACAGCAGTCTCCTGTACGGGAGCTCTAGCCTTTTGCCTTGAAATCAAGCAAAGCCTCACAGCAAGAGCAGAATTACACCGCACTAAGAGGAGATGGCTCCCACCAGTGCAGCGGGTAATGCAAGGTCATTGCCTCCTGCTCTTGATTCTCAAGTGCCATCTTCTTTAAATATAGCTGCAATCAAGGAAGTGGAAGTTATCTTTGAGTTCACTGTTAGGAACTTATTGGAGCCCATTGAAATCCTAAAACCTCATCAGGAGGCAAAGGGTTCCTTCCCTTCAGACATAATCCCATTTGTCTCCATTTAAAGAGGCACCTTCCCTCACAGCACATGTTCAACATCTTTTAGCTCACCGCTGTGTGCTCCCTGCATTCCCCTTTCACTGCAGTAATGTACACAGAGCAGAAGGCTGCACAAAACAGCTTTTTTTTCGACACACGGTGTTTAGGTCATGCAACGTGCAGGGCAGAACATTCAGATAGCAGGGAGAGAGGTAAAAAATGGGTTTTAAACCAGGGTTCTCAGTAGTAGTAATAAAGATTGGAAAACTCAGGAAAAAATAGGAAATCCTGCAAACCCACAGTACTTCCCATTTTGCCACTGTGCTCAAAATTAGATCAACTGGATGTATTCAGTAGGAAAGAATTTCATGCAGGTGCCACCATCTCACTGAACAAGAAAGAAAGTTTGCAAGTTTGCCCCCTGCATTTGTGCTTCTAAAAAAAAAAAAAAAAAAAGGGGGGGGGGGGGGAGGGGAGGGGGGGGAAGGGAAAAGGAAAACACACTCTTTGCCAAAGTGCCGAAGAAAGCAAGTTCCAATTCTGACTCTAACCTACATAACCAGACGCTGCTTGGGATCACAGCTAAGACACACCAGGCTCATCACTTTTTGACAGCAAATCCCATGCATTTTCCCCATCAGCAACAGGGCTCAGATCGGGGACTCTCATCTCATCCTCCCAGGTGCTCCCCCCATCACCCAGCCTGTCCCGCCTCAGTTAGCAGTCAAACTTCACTCCTCTCACACCTGCAAATCCTTCAGACAGTCTTTGGTACTGTTCCTAAACACAAAGTTCCTGGATGTGTGGACAAGTCTCAGCACTTCTTAAGAAATTTATTCCACCTATGACCTAGCCTTCTCCAATCCATGGGGAGAGGGGGAGGAACTTACCTTTTTTTTTTTTAACTGCAGATGTGTTCTCTTGAACCAAGTTCCAGCCCCAGCTCAGCCCCTTTAAACACAGGGGCAGGAGAGCCAACTTGGGCATAACCAAGCAAACTGCCTGGAACCTGCTAGCAGCAGCCTCGCAGCCCCAGGATGGGGCCAGAGTTGCCCTAGGCAGGGGGTAGGACACATGCATAAGCCAGCACCACCCACCGCTCTGCTCCAAGCCCAGCTCTCACCCAGCAAGGGTCTGCAGCAGCATGAACCCCACCAGAGCTTTCCCAAAGCTCTGTATCAGCATAGGCACTCCAGGGAAGAGACAGGAGGTAGGACTGACACTAGCTGGCCACGCTTTTGGCCCAGGCAGAGAGGCAATAGGAGGTGCCTGGCCAGCCGGAGCAGCCCATGTTTCTAGAGCCAGGTAGCAGGGAGTATTTGCAGTGAGTTCTTGGAGAACAACCCTCGTGCTGAGAGCAACTCACATTTTCAGACAAAATAAGTGAGACAATTGTACGAGTATCCTCAGAAGATTCATGAGCAAAGACCAAAAAAAAAAAAAAAGTTATATAATGTATTATTAATTATGGATCATTCATTCAGTTCTACTCAAAAATATCAAAGGCTGCTTTGATAGATCTAAAAGCACCAGCAGGAGCCACTGCCCTTTGTGGCTCGCTGAGAGGCCTCACTAAGAGCCCCCAGCTGAGAAGGGCCACACGGCCCATATGCTGTTCTGAAACAGCACCGACACAGAGCTCCACAGATACTCCAGGTGACAAAAAGGACAATTAAATCACTACCTTGGCTTTCCTGCCTCCACCCACAGTCTGTCTCAGGCCCCCACTCCAAAAAGCCAGCACACTCTTGCCCCATCCTCCTTAATGCGCTCAGACACAGCTTTAAGCCTTCCTGAGGAACCAGCCCTGATGCACACCTGCTGTGTCATCCTAAATTTGTGTAAATTTTCCCAATCCTACACATCTGCAAGTACCTATAAGGTGGCTTCAATCTCCGCTGATTTTATCTATGCTGTGAAAAGGAGCATTTTCTCTCCTCACACTCAAGTGTTTTTCTGTAGTTCACAATTCAAAATGTTTTTCAATGTATTCAAAATGTTAACTCAAAGGATTAAAGCTTTTTATGAATGTAACTTCTGTGAATAAAAGAATAAGTGAGAATAGATGGGCAAGACCAGTGATAAATTTTGCCTCACAGCATCACCTAATATGCCTATAATATATGAGTAAATATCTAAGGCACAATAATTATTCTAGGATTATCTTCTCCGAATTTTGTAAGTCACATGGAAAAGCGGGAGCTGTGACAATGTTATATTGTTTGTCCCCAGAGGCCAGTACCTATTTCATACTTTACTCAGAATTGTCTCCTTTGTGATAATTTTGTAGAAAGGAATTACGAAAATTGCCAGATGCCAGAGCTTTTCTTGAGAGACAGTGAAATTTCACTTAGATAGTATGAAGATATAAGCTGACTCGTATCCTGTCACTGGGATATGTCACGAAATAATATATTGTGCAAACATGTTTCTATTTGTTTGCCAAGAGATTTGCCTCCCTGTTTAAGTAAAACATTCATATGCAATTCATTCTGCTTGGGACAATGTTGATCCCTTTACAGATTACAAAACTAAAACATTTGACAGGTTATTCGAAATATCCTTCTGTAGCCAGCAGGACAAAAATGCCCAGCATGATGGAAACGTACATTTAAACTGTCAGCAAATCAGATTGCCAATCTGACACTGCTTTTAAAGCAACAGAAACTATCTGTGAGTGCGCGGAAGATGTGTCTCCTGCTGTCTCCGTTCTGAGAGGCTGTTAAGCAACAGGGAGCTAATGAGGAATTTGATTTGGGCTACAGCAAAGCCCCAAAAGGTGAACAGACATGAGTAGCTACCGGAGAAACATGCTAAGAATCAGTAGCGTCAAAACATATCTCAGGTTCCTGCTCACTGAAAAACTGGATGAGAAATGAATGCAGGGATGAACTTGAGGGGTTTTGGAACAAGAACAGATTTTGTATTCTTACAATCAAAAAGCCGAAAACGGTGTCTTTGGAGAAAAAACAATACTTCTCCAGTTGTTTGCAGAACATTTTGACAGGCTTCCTCAAAGGAGCAAAGACAAAATAGAACAAAAATGATGCCAAAGAGCTGGGAAGAGAAGCGGTCATTGGGAGGGGAAGAATTTTCCCAGGTCTTATTGCTGCTTCTTGCATCTCAGAGATGGATACCAGTGCAGCATTTGTAGTCCTCGCCTAGCCTGTGACTGACAGAGCAAATGTCTGAAGGATACAAAGAAGAGACAAGGACAGATTAAGGTGACACAAAGAGCAGACGCAGGCATAGCATGAACAAAACAGGAAAAGAAATTTCAGACTGAACATTAGGAGACTACTCAAGCCATGAATTTTATTGGACAGCAAAGTATTCTCTAAGGGGGGAAGTGGAATTTCCACTGGCTCAGCCATTTAGAAGTAGAGGTATGTCCTGCAATTTCAGGGTTGGAAGCCACGCTATAATTCAATATCTCTCTTTTAACTCTAACTGCATAACTGTCTATTACAACTAACAAGAACATCAAGTATTGCTGGAGCTACCATAAGCCTAGGCATAAACCCCTGAATTACTTTCTATCTTCTCCTTCTCATCTATTTTTCTGCCTCTCTCTAAGCATTACTGCCAAAGGGTGAAGCAGCATGAAGTATGGGCGCAGCGTAAAAACAAAACAGATCGTTCACCATTCCTTGAAAAAGTGTTAGGACAACCATTTTTAAAAAGAGGTTTTGCTTTATTTAACACAGCTTTCACAGAAATGGATGGGCGCACTTTCACGTACAGCCCCCATCCCTCATCACATCTGTCCCACGCATGAAGTTTTGTCTTCAGGAATGCGTCACCACGGACAGGCAGTCGCTGGGGGCTTACACCAAAAGCCCATCGGCCGATGGGGCTGAGGCTCATGCCCCCCACACTGCCGACCAGACCTGCCCAGTGGGTACCGAGCCCTGCCTGCCCCCTCAGTGCCACCCCATGGGCACCATCGGCCATGGGATTTGCCAGCCCCTGCCAGGACTCCCTCTTTCCTCTGCCTTCCAGAGCTCCTGTGTGTGTTTTTCTGTGCCTCTGCCCTCAGCCGTGTGCCTGTCTGCCTTGGGAAGACAGGCTGCGGTGCCTAGCAGGAAGGGCAGGAAGCTCAGCTGCCACTGGCACACAGAAATACACGGATTTTGCCTAGTGGCCATGGCAAAATGACTGATGTTTTCTCAGTAATTCCGCTCATGAGATAATTTATTGGTTTCTGTTTGACAGCCCCACTATTTCATGCACAGAAATGCATCTGAAATGAAGCTCCCGTAAATGGGCTTCACCTCCTATCTTCTTCCTTTTCCCTTATCACGCTTCTAAAGATTTTAACATACTTGTCAAACTAGGTGAGCCTCTACTCTGGACAGGATCAGATAAGCAGGTCTTTTAATCAGAAATGATGTAGGAGAGAGACACATAATTAGTTTAGCACTAAGTGCTAAAAACTATCGCCATACCCTTAAGAGGACAAGCTCTCTGTTGCAAACATTAAGTACTTGGGCTATTAAGAAAATTAATATTTTGCAGACAAGAGGAACTCTAACTCTCTGAGTCATTGTGTTTGGACTCCTCCTATCAGAAAGTTGTTCTCCTGTGGAAGGAAGACTTTTAAGGACACCCAATTAACTTAAGCCCATTGCTGACAGCAGGCTGCATCTTAGCAGTTGTTGCTTCTCTCTCTCTGTAAAATCATCCTGATACAGCATCAAAAACAACTGTCATTCCAAAGTGCAAGGACTATCAATTCTGCAGGTAGCAGGACAAGCAGGCATAGACTGTATACAGCCATTTTTTCTCTTTAGGTATTCATTTATTTTGATTTTTGGAGAAAAAACTTTCTCATTTTCTGAAATTCCCAACAGAGGTAGATCTCTCTTCTGAAGCTAACGTGGGTGTTAGAAGTGGGACCAGTTGGTCTTTCTAGACCCCTCTCTCCCTGCATGTTCAATTCTAACTGGTATCATCATCAGACCTGTAGGTTTACATACTTATAGACGTGTTATGTATTTTCTGTTGTTTCTGAAACCGGGAAGATCCTAAACATAATTTCTGGACCTTTTTGGACTCAAGAACAAATTCCTGTATATGGCAAAGCAGTTTTCGTGACCTGCATTTTCCTTTATCCACAGTGTCTCGAACAAAGAAAGTAGTAAGAAGTCCTGGTGCAGTCAGCTCTGGTCTTTCTACAAACCTAAAACCTTCTCCTTCTCCTTGACATTAAAAGTGGCTTTCCAAAACTGCTTGTTATGCACTGGAGGATGAATGAATTACATCACCTCTTCATTACATCTTCTCTGCTTTGGGATAAAAGAACAAAATTTTAAAAGTCATCTAATCTCACCCTGCGTCCCATCCCAAATGTAATTATAAGTTTCTAAGCCAAACACCAGGGAGAAGGTTTTATTGTTGTTGCTTTTTTTTTTTTTTTTTTTTTTTAACTTTAATTTACTGTGGGTCCATCAACTCTGGCCACCTTTGAAGGTACATTTCCACCCCATTAGTTCTGTCTAGTCAAAGAAGCTCACGTAGTGATGACGCATCTTTTGTAGATAAGGGTATCCACTGATTTGATTTACTAAGAAGGCTAAATTTATTATGCAACATTTTACAAGTATAATTCTGCTTTCCCTTGATGGTAATAAATTCGATATCAGTTCCCCTGAGACGAGAGAACCAGTCCCTTTATTATCCAGACATGACCCCCAGAGCCAGATTCCATTTTAGAGACGGGAAATAGCCATATCTCTGATTAAAAGGGAAACTTTAATCAAATAAAGTGCCTCATCAAGCAAGAGCCAAGATTCCAATACTCCTGACTGCAGCACAGCAATGATCCAAAGTCACATCTGCCCCCAGCCCATTACCACTTACTGTAAACGTGACATCCATCCCAAACAGGAGGTACAACTGCCAGGAGCTTCCGTGTCATCCCAGGAGCTGCTCTGCCAGTGCCCTGCAGAAACGTGTTCTCGGGCTGCTCCCCAGGCCCTGTTCAAGGACCCAAGGAAGACAGCCTTTGGGGCATTTGGGTACGTTTTTGCGCATCTAGATCAGTTTCAAGGGTGACAAGTAGCCTGAACCATGCAGCCAAGTGTAGCAGCCCTGGCCTTCAGCTCAGCACCCTCCCAGTCAGACTCTTCTGTTCTCTCTGCTCCTACACTCTGAAGGAGGCTTTTGGAGCATTAGGATACTGGCTCCTTCAGAGTCCCAGCTCGAGAGTTCTGTCCCTATTGTCAGTGGTGTATTTCTGTAGTTTTACATCAGGCAATAAACAAATACGAAATAAAGATAGCAATGACAATATGGATGTCCTGGGGTACTATGAAGTGTGCTTTAAGCCTCCACTTGTGTGTAAGCACAATTCTGTATGCCACTCCATGCAGAGATCTCTGTCTTAAAGTCCTGCTGGTCATCTAGACAGTTTTCTTGCAACAGAGCAAGACTCTGCAACTGACAGATAAATCAACTCCCTTTCAGTTGCGGAAGCCCAGCTACGCAAGCAAATGAAGGCGCCCAAACTCCACATCCCCCCAGGAACCGCTGGGCTGGGAGATCCAGTTATTTCTCAGTCTTCGGCAGATCGCCCCCTTGGATCAGCCCAAGCGTAACGTTTCGGTTACGGGAGTAACGAAATTTCCCCTCTGCTTCGTGGGGAAGCCGCGAAGCTGCACCGAAGCCGCCGCGCTGAGCGATGCCGCCCGCCCCGCGGGGCTTCCAGCCGCAGCCCCGGCCGGGCACAGCTCGGGGAGCCGGTAAC